CCACCCCCCCCCTTCCACGCTGCAGTCATCCCACTGTTCCTGGCAAGTCAGACACTCAGCATCACTCTCCTACAGAGTAATCCCGGAGCTGGCTCCCTTTCAAGGTCAGGTCTTAGAGATAGCAGAATCCAGGCTTTCTGTCTGTTCCAAACTGCAGGCTGCATCAGAACAGGCAGCTGTGAACTCTAGGCTGGAAGGCAACTTTGCAGCATTCAACCTCCCCAGAATAGGGCACCCACCTCCATGATCCCAGCACAGTTCCTGACCCCTGAACTGTCCTGCTGCCTGGTCCTTCCTTACAGCTGCCGATGTCTGGTTGATTCTGTGTGGTCCCATTGCTTACGCATCAATTTTCCCTTTGCAGGCATTAGCTAGAGCTAGCTTCTGGCACCTGTTCTGGGAACTCTATGAAGCATGCTGAGCAAAGGAGACTTGAGAGCCCAGTTAGCTACTTGGCTGAAAGCCCAGGGTTCTGGTCTACATCCATCAACCCACCTGCCTCCCTGTGGAAGCATCAGGCGAATAGGGGAAGAAAGAGGTTAGCAAGGAGTTACAGTGCTTTACTGGGTGTTTAATTTACATTTCGATTGGCCTTCCCAGTGCCTTATCACTCTCACCCAAAATGTCAAAGCAGGCTTCTCACTCCTTGGCCCTTTCTTGTGGGTTTAGAGGGAGGCCTAAATTAGGCTTAGGGCCAGACACCCAGAATTCCAAGAAGTCCTCTTGGGATCAAGTATGCAGGGATGGGCAACATAGGGTTTACCAGGATACTGTTGGGGTGAGACAAAAGTCCAGGCAAAAGAGGACCCTCAAGTGTAGCACCTTTGTGGGAACCTGGCTCCTTCAGGTCTCAGAGAGCCAATCAGAGATGGCTCTGGCCTAGAGCCAGCTCAAGGTGTAGCTCCTCTACCCTCTGGATCAGGGGTTCTAACAATTTAGGAGGCTTGCTGGAATGGAGGTTCCTCACCTGTGGAGTGTTTAGCACAGATTAGTCCCAGGGATCGTGAGATCAGCATGACAGTGTTTGGTCTCCATATAAAGAATGTGCACAATAAATATTTAGCTCTCTGGCACCCATATCCTGCTCTACCACCTCAGAAGCCAACAGCTTGCATTTCTTAATCATGAAGTCCTGCTAATTCTGCTTCTAAGCCCTCCTCTCCAAGATCAGTACTGGGAAGAGGTGAAGGCTCCCTTTTCTGTGGTACAGCTTCCAGGTAGAGCTCAGAATAGGACGAGGATTTTTGGCCCCTGGTGGCCATCTGATATTTTCACCTGTAGTCAACTAGATTTGCCTTACCTGCTTGACTGCAGTGCATCTGTCTGGGTCAGGACCTTGGTACCTGCCCTGCAGTCAGCTAACTTCTTTCATAGCATTGCATGGTCTGTCATCTTGGGATATGCCATCTTCTTGGGGCACTGCCAGGAGATGGGTGAGTATTCTCTCTTTCCTCCTCCACTGCAGATTCCATTGGGAGAAGGGTATAGCTGGGGTATCAGCACCCTCTGAGGTAAGGGGCCTGAGGAAGCGTTCTGCTTCTAGCATGGTAAAGGAAAAGGGCAGGGTGGCCTCAGAACAAGCCGGCATCAGCATCACTAGATGGATCCATCTTCCTCTTCCTCTGTTTTTAATGATTATTGTCAGGAAAACATGGGCCACAGCTTTAGTTACCTCATTACCACAGCCTGCTCTCACTACCACTTAGTCCTTCCTCGATCCTCTCTTGAAGATTCTAAGTCTCTCAGTCACTAGGGCCCAACTACTCATGACTGCTCACTGCCATCCTAGTGGCCAGAATCTGAAGTCCCATGCTGAGGTCTGAGTCACCAAAGGGGACTGGTTTCTGCCCTGTGGGTTCCAATACTTGCTTTAAATTCAATTATCCACTCACTGATCGTGTTGGAATAAAACAAGAGATGGGTGTATGGGAGGGAACTGCCCTTGTCATATTCTGTATTTTAAAACGTCTTCGTGTGTGTGTGTGTGTGTGTGTGTGTGTGTGTGTGTGTGTGTGTGTGTGGTTGTGGGAGCATGCACATGTGCACACTCCACGGCATTCAAGCACAGGTCAAAGGCTAACTTTCAGAAGTTGGTTCTTTTTTTTTCCATCATGCTGAAAATTCATCTTGGATCAAGTCAAATTGTCAGGCTTGAATTTCACTGGTCCTGTTATCACACTCCTTATGTTGTTGTGGGAGTGAAAATGTGTCTCTGTGACTCTTAGATAGTCTTGGTTCGCAGCACAGGTGAACTACCCTTCACAGAATCCCTTGTACAGATGTGAAGCCATGTGACTTCTTTCAGGCCAACCAGCTGGGGAAAAATAATATAGCTACTTCTAGGACTGGGCCAGTGCCTTTCCCAGGAGTGGTTCCTACCTTGGAGACAACTTTGATGCTCAGATAAAACCAAAAGGCATGGAGACCAACTGCCTGCTAGTCAGAATTGTTCATTGTTGAACACCCCATATTGACTTTCTCCCACCCGAACACACAACAGCTACATAATAGGCAATCCAAGCAAAACTCGAAGTGCTGGAAAACACATTTTTTAACTCTTCCGAATTTAGTTAAGTGGTGACCTGCATGTTCTGTATACTGACTAAGTCTAGGCATGGAGTCATGGACAGACAAGAGGAGCCCTGTTGACACTCATGCCCCCAGTAACACTGTCTTCCTATGTGTTGCTCAGTGGCTATGGTTCTTGGGCTGTTTGTCACCAGAGGTGAAGCCCAGATGAAAGGGTTGCTTGGAGATGGCCTGCAGCACAGGGATTTTAGCATCTGCAGCTGCCTCCACTAGATGGCACTGACAGCATTGTTTTTCCTCATTAAATTTTGTTACTCAGTTGTCACTTTTATAGGGTTGAAGGCCACAATACGATCTATGAATTAAACTTTAGTAGATGACACAACATATGATCATGTTAAGAATGATGATATTTCCAAGGACTGTCAAGTTTTCCTTCTTCTTAGGAGATGAGAGTACCCCTTAGAGAACGAGGGACTGTCCCGGGATCCTGCCTTGTGCCTGCCAGAACACTATCAATGAGTATTCCTTTCTTCTCCTGTCCTGCCATTGATTACAGGGGTACCGGACCCAGGCTTCACTATTAGGTGTCTTTCTGTTCTTTTCAGCTATCAGGCAGCTTCAGAATGGTGGGGAAGCCCTACCTGTACAGACAACCCTCTTCTCTCCCCAGCCACTTTAATGCTGGGAGACACCAGCATGGACCCTGGAAGCCACACTTCCTGTTTCTGGCCCCAGGTAATTGGCCTCAAATAGTAAGTAAGCTATTTACCTTGTCTTGAGCTCAGGATGGCAATGCCCTTTGATTCTTTAAGGGCAGAGACTGTGCCCTGTTCTCCCTAGGTGCCCTGGAGGCAGCTCAAGATCAGGGACATACGAGTGGCTACTGAGTTTTGAGCAGGCTCATTGAGCAGGCTCATTGAGCTTCTTTGGGCTGCTGCTGTGGTCTAAGGTGGGGTTACTCAAGCCTCCCTTCTTTTACTTCTTCCTTCTTTGTCCATGCTGGCCTCAAGCTATAATCCTCCTGCCTCAGCTTTGTCAGAGTTGAGATTACAGTACTTACTGCCGTGCTGAGTCCTGCTCTTATTACTGCCATTATTATTCCTTTTCTAGCCACAACAAGGCTCCTGGCTGGAGCCTCTGTTGGTCACATAGAACTCAGCCTTGGGTAGGCTGACCTAGGATGTCCAGGTTCCCCTTCTGCCAGCTGTTTGACCCCCGGGAGGTTCACCTAGCATCTCTGGGCTATCACATTTCCATGAGCTATAAAGGGAATGAAAAATTTCCAGCTATAGTCAGAACTTCCTGAGTCCCTTGGGACCAGGTTGCAGAGCTCCCAAGATTGCAGAGCTCCTGGAGGGGGGGGGGCAAGCCACCCCAGGGCCCATACCAGCACTAGTGTTGAGTTCTCTCTGCACACAGATGAGCACTCCTCAGAGCCCAAGTAGTCACTTGGCCACCACATCTGCCTTTCTGAAGTGGCCTCAGCACCTCCCTGATTCTACCAGAGGTCTCAGAAGGAGCTGTGTGACAAACACAGTACAGCACATAGGGGCATTTCTGAGAGCCACAGGAATCTGGTGTTCAGCCAGGCAATAGCTTCTGTGCTGGGGAAAGGGGAGGTCTTTGAACTTTCCTTCCTGAGACCAAGCCCCCAACCTGTGTGAGAAGACCCCTTGAGCTTCAAGCTCCTGGTCCCCAGAACCATGATCTGAACATATTTTTATTAGTTAAAATGTTTGTGTGTGCATGCGTGCATGTGTGCATGTGTGTTGGAGAGTGCGGCCATGTGTGTGTGAGCTCAAGCATGAACATGCCATGGCATGCATATGTGTGGAGATCAGTTCTCTCCTGTCACCTTATAAGATCTCAAGAGTGAAGTCATGTCATCAGGCCTGCACATGGAGCCTCAATCTACCGAGCCATCTTGACAGCCCATTTTTATTCCTCATACATCTCCTAGTCTGTGGAATTTAGCTGCAGCAACAGAAAACAGAGTAAGGCAAAGCTTCAGATCTACTGCTAGCTGGCTGTGTGCCACAGTGCAAGCTGCTGCTCTTTCTAAACTCCAGGATCTGTTTTTGGAAAACAGGTAGAAATATGCCCACTGCCCAAGAGAGGCATTTGGAGTATAGGCAGAACAATGGCTCACATAAATGTCCATGCCCAAATTGGGCCATGATGGCACACGCCTTTAATCCCAGCACTCCAGAGGCAGAGGCAGGTGGGTCTCTGAGTTCAAGGCCAGCCTGGTTTACAGAGTGAGTTCCAGGACTGCCAAAGCTGTTACACAGAGGAACCCTGTCTTGAAAAACTAAAAGTTGTATTTTTACTTTGCTTCTTTTCCCCAGAATCCCCAGGATAGTTGCCTGCAGATTTCTCAGCCTGGACTCATCTTACCCCTTGGTGGAGAGCAAAGGCCAGGTCATTTCCATGGTGTTTGGGGGTGTGTACTACACTTGTCTGAGTCTGTAAATTTACTGGCTCACAGATTCCCCCCTATGGTATCTTGAAAACTCAGTGCTTCCCAGAAGTGTCCTGTCAGTGCCCCCATGCCCGCAATCACTCTTCCGATCATGCTAGTGGTCTCCTTTCTTCAAGTATCTGCAATTGTCCTCAAAGACCTCTGTCCACAAACATTTTGGTCCATACATAAGACAGTTCAGAAATGGAAGGGTGTATCTACCAATGGTTGGCTGGTGGAAGTTGGTGGGAATGCCTCCATCCACCCATTACCCAGGAAAGGCCCCTTTGAGGCCCATCCTGCAGCATCTCAGATGGTCCCCTTGAGACAGCTGGGTGTCATCACATCAGCCTGGCTGGTTCTTTCCCTGTGCCCTTCCTCATGCTTTGGGGGACCACCTCTAGAATACACTGCCCAGATCCTGTTTGGGTTCTGATTCTGGTGAAGGTCAAAGGAAATAAAAACACTGGCAAAAAGGGCCCTGCTGTGACAGCAGGTCACCTGACAGACATATATTTAGCTTGGTAAGGACCACACTGAACAACCTGAAACTGTAAAAGCCTGTTCTGTTACTGCTAACAGGACAATGGGTCTATGGGGAATTGTTTTCCTTCTGTCATACCAGAATTCTGCTTTGGGATTTACAAGAAGCCTTATGGTGGTCTTCTGAATCGGTTAATAATTGACTGAGGTCATATTTCCATGTGTATGTTTGCATCTTTACCCTAAGACAGCAGTTCTCAACCTGTGGGTTGTGATTCCTTTGGGAGTCACATATTAGATATCCTGCATATCAAACATTTACATTATGATTCATAACAGTAGCAAAATTACATTTGAAGTAGCAACAATATAATTTTATGCTTGGGGTGTTCACCACAACATGAGGAACTGTATCAAAGGGTCATTTTCTCTTATCCAAGAACTAATTATCCAAACAACAGATTGGATTTTCTTATTTCTTCGCCCAGTTTTCCTAGCTTTGACCCAAATTTCTGCTTTGGCTTGGGGACAGTGTCAGTCCTGCAAGAAATGGGATTGTGGGAGCAGGAGCACAGTCATGATCCCATGGAGCCACCAGGACCCTAGTGACACACAACAGCCCCCTGGGCCTACCTGGTGTGATCTCAAACAAGTGCTTCCCTGGGTCCTCAGGGTCTGGAAGAAGTTCGGTCACTTGTGTCCCTTGTAGAGAAATAAATCCCTGAAATAGAGACAAACACAAATAAGAAACCTGGGAAGGCTGGGAGAGGGCTCCGTGGAGTGGAGGGTGGTGCTAGGACAAGGGCCAGCCCTTCTCCTGGCAATGTAGGCTGAGTACCAGGGAAGAGTCTGTGCCTCCTCCTGGGGCATGGGACCAGGCATAGAGGACCAACTTCCCAATCTGCACACACAGTTGGAGGGTGGGAGGGGTCTTCCAACAAGGGGTGGGCCAGGAATTCCCAGTGCAAGACAAGGCAAAGCAAGACTATGGCCAGGAGGACAGAACTGAACGATCCTCCATTGCTCACCTCCCTATCCAAAGGCTCACTATGGTCTCCTGTAGGACCCCAGGTGTGAAGAGCAAGAGAGAGGAAGGCTAGTGTTCAAGAGCCTTGGAGGTGGCATTGGGGATGGACAACATCACATATCTGTGTGAATCCAATCTCCCATGGCCAGGCAGGATGAGGTTTCATTCATTCTCTTCTTGGTTTTATGTGTGTATTAGATTATTATTATTATTATTATTATTATTATTATTATTAATCATTATTATTTTGGATTTTTGAGACAGGGTTTCTCTGTGTAGTCCTGGCTGTCTCAGAACTCACTTTGTAGACCAGGATGGCCTCAAACTCAAAGATCCGCCTGCCTCTGCCTCTGGAGTGCTAGGATTAAAGGTGTGTGTCACCTAGCCCAACTCAATTGATTATTAAGAGATTTCTATTACAGTGCTGGGGATCGAACCCAGGACCTCTCATATTCTAGGCAAGTCACCAACATGCATGACATCACCAGCCTAGACAGTGCATCATTCTGCCATAGGCAAGCACAGTTGTCCCTTGGAATCCACAGTGTATTGGACCCCTTGGATGTCCTTTCCCATGCTCAGTCTATGTGTCGTATAAAAGGACTTTGACCCTCACCTCTCAGGAGATTTCTGTAAGCCAGATTCCTGCTTGGTAAGTCCTCCCCAAAGAGATGAGGTATTGCTAGCAAGAGCCTTCTTTACTCTCCACAGGAGCTCCTTCATGCCACACACGCTCAGCTTTGCTTAATTTAGACTCCATGTGGCTTGACTATATACACTTCTATCTTCATGGAAAACTTATCTTAAACTCCATTCTTGCAGTCAGCTCTCCAGGTTCAGATAAATTGTGTCACTTTTCTGTACCCCAGTTTCTGTATTTGTGCATTGGGAGTCATGCCAGTTCCTTGTAGGGCTGTTCTGAGCATAAATGAATCAGTACCTGGGATGTCCTTAGCATAGGTCCTGCCACATAGTATGCACTTTGCTTTGAGACATGGTCTCACTATATAACCCTGTCTGATCAGGAACTCACTATTTAGACCAGGTTGACTTTGAATTCACAGAGATCTGTCTGTCTCTGTCTTCCGAGTGCCACAATTCAAGGCATGTACCACCAAGCTGTGCTAAGAACTGTGTGTTAGCTAAGTAAATCTCTCTATTGTTTGGGCTCCAGAACAGGTAAGGGACATATCCATGAGTCTGCATTTGATCAGCTGAGAGAAGCCGAGTGTTGGCTTCACCGCTTCCCATCCTCACTACTATGCCTGCTAGCAGACACTCTCCTCCCAGGCCAGTAACATTTTAGTGAGTCCTCAAACATCCCCACGGGGTATTATAGTCCTGTTACATAGACAAGAAAGCTGGTGGGGGTGACGGGCAGAAAGGCGAAGCATTAGCCTGTAGCTGAGTCAGGCCTTTTCTGGCAGATCCTGACCATATCAAGGAAATGGGAGCCTTATATCTATTGGCATCTGTACTTCAGGGACATATGAAAATGCTCTCATGTAAGCAACATCAAGGCAGAATGGGGTCTGTACCCACAGATGCTTGCTCTAGGGAAATTATAGCAATAAGCCAGGGATCCAGCTGGTAATTGCTGTGACTGAATTACTGGTTGTGTTCTTGCTAGGGAACCTGGAGCTACAGGGAATAAATTAGGACAGCAGTCCCAGGATTCGGGAATGTGCTCATTAGAGGGCGTGTTCAGTAACCAACTCTGATGGGGTACTTTGCTGTGTGTTTTCCCTCTTCCTCAATAACTGTCATCCACATAATGGGAGTAACAATATCTTCACTGACATTACTTTCCACCGAGGCTAAAGGAAACAGCAGAAATAGCTCCTGTTTGTGGGAACTGGTACAATGTTCCTGGCTCTCAAACCTACATGACTGAATTTGATTTAAAGCCCTGTGGGGCAGGTGCTGCCATTGCTCTCTCCTTGCACTAGAGGATAAAGATGGGAGAGACAAAGTGCAGGCTCCATTTCCGCTGTTAGCAAGGGTCAGCTGGGATATGAGTTCCCACCTGCCCACTCTGCACCCCACCTTTGAGACAGCAGCTTCCCACCAGCTCAGCTTGCTTCCAAGAAGCCACTGTGGGAGACCCAGAAGGAGACTCTGGTATCTATGAGTCCCTTTGTACTCAAGTGAATCCCTGTGTGGCCCCATCATTGCAAGGGAACTTAGCACCAACCCAGGGCTTCACTCAATATTAGACCCCCAATGGTCTAAAAGTCAAGAGTGAAGCTTTAATTTTGGGGTTAGTTAGGGCAGGGTGTGATGGTCCCAAGAAGCCTGCTCTCCTGGTCAGGATTGTGATGTGTGTTAACACTCTAGTGAAAGTACTTGTAAGGAATTTGCCAGACATCCCATATAAACCTGAGCTTGCCTCTCAAGCTCCCCCAGAGCTTGTTGGAACACAGAGGTCTGGGCTTGTTTGACAATAAAGAGAACACAGCACCCAGTTTACATGTTTGCTATTCTCAGTAGAATACAGGTCTCTTTCCTTCATGGCCAGTTTCACGATGTCACTGAGTGTGGAGTTAGGAAGAGATTCATTACAGTGTTTGCCACATGGTTGCCTCAGAGGACAGGGCACAGTCAATGAAGCCAGTTGAAAAAAAGATACAAATGTGTGCCGAGTCCTTACCTTTGTTTTTCTTACAGCTGATTTAACTGTGGATGAATGTATTGCTCACCAGGGGCCTGGTCCATTCAGAGAAGCAATGGACTCCACCCTGGAGCGTTGAATTTCACAGTTCTGGACAAAGCTGAATTTTTATTTCTGCCTAATTTTCTGATGTTGGTGGTCCCAGGAATATGCCTAGAGACCTGCTGGTTTAGAGCAGTCGAGGGTTGGTGCTTTTCCTCTGAGTTTAGTCCTCACCTAAATTTGCTACCCTGTAGAATAACATCGACTCCATGGGGCCATAGTGACAAGGCAATGGCTTGTGATCTGCTCCAGAGAGTACAGCTGCATTTGAAATCCTGTGCCCTGCACATGCAGGTTATAGGAGCAATGAATATGCTTCTTCTTTCCTCTCGACAATGCAACAACCACAAAGGTCCTGGGATTTTCTTGTGGGGAGTGTCCAAAATAAACATTAACAGGGTCCAACTGACTTTCTTATAATAGTGTGGGGCCAGGGCTTGGGCACTTCGGCTTTTGAAGAGGCCAAGCTCATATAGCCTGCACTACAGTGGCACAATTTGTTGAAAGCCTATGGGCACACAGAGAGAGCACACAAGCTCTAAGTCCCTTCCTCCTTTCCTGGGTCTGAACTCATGACCGTTGGCTGTTGGTGGGTTTGCTCAGTCTGCAGGTCTGAGCTCATCCCTAGAAGCTGCAGCTGACTTTGCTCATCTCTAGCTCTATGTCTCCACAGTCTATTGGTATAGATGACTCATGAGCTAAGAACACTGCATTCTGTCTGTCTCCAGCAGGGCCCCACAGCCAGGACTGCTGCTGTCTCCACCACAGGGCCTGCATCAGCTCCCCCAACTCCCAGGGAGACCTGCCAAAGCCCCCAGAACCCCTGATCACAAATTCTGCCTGCAGAGAACAGAGCTACAGGAAATGGATAGCACAACTCCAACTGAGGAGCTTTTGGGAGAGAGCATATTTCAAAGACAGCAGAAAATTAAAATGGTTACATAAAATCCATCATCTACCCAAGCATGATGGTGTATGCCTTTAATTCCAGAACCGGGGAGGTAGAGGCAGGCAGATCTTTGTTAGTTCAAGGCCAACACCATGGACTACATAGTGAGTTCCAGGACAGTCACAACACACAAAAAGACCCTGTTTAAAAAACGAACAAACAAAAAATAAAACCACCCCCAAAATAAAAATCCATCATCTATATGATATATTAAATGCAGACCCCAGAAAGCCACTTAGGTTGAAGAAAAGTGGTTTAGTGACTAGCCTCATTCCATCTTATGTGCCTAAACATCACAGTGAGTAACTTAGGGTGCAGTATGACTTAGGGGATTTTTGAAATTCTGAAAGTCTACTATGCCAGGTTCTGTCCATATTGGTTATCTACTGCTACCCAATATGCCCAAAACGTAGTAGCTGAAAACTACTGTATTATTTTGTTAGACAGCTTCTGTGGGGCAGGAATTTGGAGGTGCATTAGTTGAACAGTCTGAAGGCTTTATAAGGAGACAGATACAGAAACTCTAAAGCCTGAAGAAGACCAGAGATATGTTTTCAAGTTGGCTCACTCAACGGAAGCTATAAAACAGACTCAGACTCTTGAGGCACAAAGTAGGGTATGAGTGACAAATCCAGCTGGGAGGATTAACTATAATTCAACTCTACAGAGGAAAACATACTTAGAGCTCTTGAAATCAGAAACCCAGAGAAAAGATAAAATTTTAAAATGGGCAGAAGGCCTGGGAATTTAGCTGAGTTGACAGAACGCTTGCCTAGGTTGCGCAAGGCTGTCGGTCTGCTCCTCAAGGCTAAGTTGGTATTACTTATTAATACTAACTGTGATGGTCCTTGCCTGTAATCCCAGCCCTTGGGAGGTGGAGGCAAGAGGGTTAGAAACTCAAGGTCCCTCTTGACCCAGGATAGCCGGGCTACATGACATCTGTCGTTAAACAACAATAAAACACATAAGACAGAGTACTAGTGAGATGTGGAGTGATTTTGAACAGTCAAATATGTATGTAATTACCCTAAC